AGGGGCACCTATTAATGACAGAAAATAAATTGAAAATACATCCCTAATTTCAATTTAAAAATTATCTGTTGCAGAAAAGCTAACATAGGAAAATACTTTCAAGAAAGAGAGGGGGCGTTTGTAATAGTTTAGAGAAATGGCGATCGAAGGTACTATTTATGATAACGCTCTCCTTGGAATTTTACAAAACGAAGGTCAGATTTATCCTTTTTTGGATGTTATATTCGGCTTTCTGTACAGAAGGTAACTTTTAAACGATTAATATTTAATGTAACATGCAAATATTAGCTTATTACTATGAAGTGGTTGTTATGTTAGTACTTTGTACGAATTGTTATTTCTAAAACTAAAAGTAGTAAGACTCGGAGTATACTGTATTATACTCACTACTCATCAATTAAGCCTAAAGACGAATGTAAAGTCATTTCATTAGGCCTAAGTCAAGGACTTAATAAACACCGTAAAAGAGCACAAAAAGTACATTTAATTCTATAGTGAATTACTTTTAATTTCACATGTGACATTAAAAACTGTCTGTTTTAATATTTATTTTGTACACTATGCAAGTATGTTGGTCTGTTTACATAATTTTGACGTATACGTATTGTTTGAAACGTCAGAAAAAGTAAGTAACGTTATAATTTTAGTTTCTATTTCTAAGTTCAAATGGGTATTTAGAGATTTTGTGTGGACTGCTGAAAATATTGATATTTCCATATTTGGTTGCTTTAATAGTTATTAGTTTAACTAATAAAACCTTTCATCAAAGTATTTCAAAACCAAACCAAGCACTAACAAATCATGTGTATAGTTTCCTTTTGCTTTATTGCAGTGGACAGTATAGTTTGTTACTTTAAATTAAAAACAGTTTGATGTATTTTATATACATCATTGTATAGAGCAAACAAGAAAAATCCCGTCTTAGATTTAGGTTAAGATCACTTGAACATTTTTTTTCTTTAATTCCAAACAGTCTGGTTTGCTTTTTTAATACGTTTCCTCCAGATGTGGTGGATGGATTAAATGTAAGGAGTTTAAGGGAAGGCTTGACGAATATATGTATGATAAGAGCTGACTTTGAGTGTTTATTTTAATTTTAAAGTTTAGGTTAGTGGATGGGACAGCCTAGGTGGACCAGTAGGTCCCTCATCTTTAAATTATAATTATGATATTTTGATCATTTACATATGTAGAATAATTGGAAATATTG